TCAGCCTCCCAAGGCGCGGGATTACAGGCTGAGCCACCAAGCCCGGCTTCCCTTTTTTTTTTGCTGTAAGCACAGGCAAAATCCAAAGTACTTGCAATTCTTGACAAATAACCAATATTAGGATGGACCGGGCTTGGTGATTTTTTGACAGTGGGTCGTGAGAGCGGAGACATCCAGCATGACATCCAGGCCTTGTCCGGGCAGCTGGGACTTGGCCGCGCAGTGCCCTGCACCGGGAGCCATGGGAATGGTCAGGCGGTGGTGATTTCCACCGAAGCAGGAGGATTCTGCAGTGTCTGTGGGATAGCCAGTGGGCGGTGGGTGAGTGGGTATGACGCTTAGGAGGAAGGTGAGCCCTGCAGACCAGTTAGGAGTCAGTAGCTTAGCAGGGAGGTGACGTCCCTGAGAGGTTATGTGAAGAAGCTTTAAGAACACCCACACACACAGGAAGCCAGGGAGTAGAGCAGAGAGGGAGGTGGCCACCTTGTGAGCCCTGGCCATGGTGGCTGTGGGAGCTGAGGCAAGAGCGGGGTCATGAGAAGGGTTGCATGAACGGGCCTGAAGTCATTGTGGCCTTGGCAGAAACAGAGACCTGGCAGGGGCTGGGGTTAGTCCACAGTGTGGGGAATTGTCTGTGATGGAGACCAGGAGCATGGGACTTGGTGATGGTAGAGAGAGACAAAAGAGAGAGAGTATTGAATGGCAAAGGGCAGGGAGGTCTTGAATAGATAGTTGAGGGCGGGATCTGAACCCTGCTGGGAGGATTCCCCCTAAAAACAGAAGTGGGAGGTTGGGAGTCAGAGAGGCTCCTGAATGGTTTGGGTGGAAGCTGAATGAGTTTCTTTCTCTTGGTGGATTTTGTTTTTCTCTGAAGTAGGGAAGGAAATGAGGAGGGAAGGAATTGGGGTTTCAGACTTGAGAGTGAAGGAAGAGTGAGTTAGACACCGAGGGAAAGAGAGGAAGCCAGGGCCATGGGGAGAACAGGGTTTTCTTCATTTTGCGTTTGTGTTTTCTTCATTTTGTTCTATGGATTCCGCCCTTTTGTTAAGTTTTCCAGGACTGACATTAGATGTGTGGTTCATCTGTTTTCGCTAAACATCGTTTGCTGTAAAACGTGAAGTCATCTTAGCCAGTTAAGCAGAATGCTGTGTGTTAACTGGTACTTTGGGATCCATGGCATTGCATATCCCTGCTTCAGTGGGCATGACCCGTTCTCTGTGGGTGTCCCTGAAGCATCCTTGGTGCTGGAGGCTTGGGGAGATCCCGGCAGGGAGCCCTCACTCTGCCACGGTGCTGTGCTCGTCGTGGGTCACTCAGCGCCCGAAGGGAGCCTGAGGAAGGTGGGTCATAGGGGCCCATCTTGTTTGTCGCTGTCTAATTCGTCCTTGTGAAATGGTATTTATAAAGTTGCTACAGGCGGTTGATGCTTTGCTGGGCACAGTATAAAATGCATGAAGTCAATTTGTACTGTGCCCTCTGCACACTCACAAACTAGACGAGACACCAAGAGACTGAGCAATCAGCCTGTGCAAACGCTTATTATTAAATGTCACGATAAATATTTTTTATTTTCTCTAAGCAACTCTGTGGCTCTGTGGTAGCTGAAGCAGAACGTTTGAAACCGGAATGAAATTATTTCTATTTAATGCTCTTTTGAAAAGTTGCATCTCAAAGCAGATAATTGGAATCTGGTTGGCATTGAAGGATAGGGTTAAGACCCTGGAAGAACAACAATAGCATTGATCATTCTGGTGTAGAGATTTATGGGCTAAAAGTTGCTTCATCATCTTGCCTGTAAGGAGTTGACACTTGTGGTGAAGTTTGAGTGTGGTGATTACAAATCCAACTTCCGAGCAGACCAACTTCCCATCTCAGCTGTGCCAGTCTGGGCAAATGAATTCCCTGTGTCTTCACTTTCTCACCTATTAAATGGAAGGATACTAGACCTTTCTCAGAGGGTTGTCATGAGGATTTAACGTGTCAATAGAGTCACCACCAAGAAACTTGTCTGGCATGACCGAATATTCACATTTGATAGATGAGGAAACTTGAACTCACTTGAAATGTCCTGAATCTGGCTCCTTCGCTCCTGTGCGCTAGAGCTGAGACCTGGGCCCAACATTCTTTCAGGCGTTTTTCCTACCAAATGACTATAGAGTATAATATGTCTGGGTGATATATTTTTAATAATTTAGAAAATGAAAGTATAATTTGCATACAATACAGTTCACTCTTTTTGTTAGACAGTTCTGCCAGCTTTGACAAAGGCATCACGCCGTCATCCTGTAGAAGAGTTTTCTCAGCCACCAGCGTTTCTCTGTCCCCTACCACAGGCAGCCTCTTCCCCGCCCCTTCTACTCCCTGGAACCCACGGATACAGTCTTTACCCCCATAGTTCTGCCTCTTCCAAAATGTTATAAAGAGGGACGCATACAGTGTGCAGCCTTTGTCATTTGTCCCATTATGTTTATCACAGTGCATCTGATGCGTCTACCTTGTGTGTAACAGTTGTTTGTTCTTTTCTGATACTGAGCAGTGCTCCATTGTATAGATTCACCTCTTGAGGGATGTTTGGGTTGTGTCTGATGTTTGGGGACCACCAATAAATCGACCAGAAACATCCCCATACAGGGTTTTTGTGAGCGCACAGGTTTCACTTCACTGGAGGAGATTCCCAAGAACACAGTTGCTGGGCCCTTGGGTTGTGCTTGTCTAACTGTGAGAAACTGCCGAGCTCTTTTCCACCATTGCTGAACTATTTTTTACACTCAGACCAGTCGCGTTTGCAAACACCACACAGTTAAGATTTTCGGTTTGTTTATTTTTATTTTTTTTTTTAAAGCAGTTCTAATGGATGTCAGTGGCATCTCGTTGTCGTTTCAATTTGTATTTCCCTGATGAGTAATGGCGCCACCCGTATCTTTTTTTCTGGAGAAGTTTCATTTCGGATCTTTTGCTTGTTTTTGAGGCAGTGGAAGATTGCTTGTTTTCTTTTTATTGAGTTTTTAAAGACTTTTTTGTATATTTTGGGTACAAATCTTTATCAGATGTGGGATTTGCGATCACCTTCTCTTGTTTTCTTAGCAGTGCTTTTCAAAGAGTAGAATTTCTTTATTTTGGTGAAGTGCAGTGTAATAATTTTTTTTCTTTGACAAATTGTGCTGTTGGTATCCTATCTAAGAAATCCTTATTTAGCCCAAACTCGTAGGTATTTTCTTCCAAAAGTATTATAGTTTCTTAAGTTTTACATTTAAGAGCTATGATACATTTAAAGTTAGGTTTTGCATTGTGTGAGAGGTATGGAATGAAGCTTACTTACTTGGTGGTGGAACCATGTACCTTTGTTACCAGTTCATGGACTGTGTATGTTCAGGATAATTTTTTTTAAAGTGGGGTTCTGCCTACTTGCTTTTGAAGAATGGAGTAATAATTGTTTATATATTAGGTGTAGTATTTCCCAGTGTTCAAAGTGTTATCTTATTCTCTTTGCAATTTGATTTTGAGCTTTATTCAATCCCTGAAATATCTGGCATGATTATTATTTCCCCCATTTTATTCATGGTGGTAGAACACAGCCTCTACAGGAATTATTTAGAGATACAGGTAGATGGTGACAGAGCCAGCGCCAGGACCCTGAAAATTCAGGAACTTTTCCCACCAGGATATCGCCAAAGGGTTTTCTCTAAATGAATTTAATTCTAGCTTAGTTCAGTTCTAGCTGCATGAACAGGCACAAAGTAATTAATGTCTCCACTGTCAGTTACCTCTTCTTCCAACATATCTAGCTCTCCTAAGAAGGTCTATTAGAATTAAATATAAAATATACAAAGGTCCTAGCACAGGGCATAGTGTATAATAGGATCTGTCATTATTACCATCACCATTATTTTTTGAGTGTGTTGGTTTTCTAGAAGGTACAGAGTAGGGGTATAGGAGACAACTTGCTAAAGAGCAAAATGATTCATAATCAAAGTATACGCAGATACACAGGAAAACATTTTTGGAATGGAATGATGACAATTCACTTTAATCACTGATTGTAAAAGCAGAGGTGACTTTAATGGAAGAGGACTGTTTTGAGGGGGCAAGCCTTCATTTTGCTTTACCCCTCCCAGGTTTGGTATAGCTTTACAAGGGTTAAAGGTGAGAATAACATGCCTATGTAGCATGCAGTATAGGTACCTGGTCAGCAGCTGATAATTGTTGGCTTCTTCTAATAATCCTTTTATTATTATGTATCAAGACTACCATGTATGCATTACCGTTCTTAGTGGATCAGAGATGTTTTTCTTTGCTCTGTTTTTGTCATGTTTAGTCATGAGCCCCTCCTCTGGAAGTGGTCTTTCTCTTGCTATTTCTGTGATTCTTTGTAGGGATTATAAATCTGTATAAACATTTGCCAGCCTGCATTCAGCTCAACCTCTTTTTTTCTTGGTTTACAGGGAGCGGCACTGAAATACTTGCCCACGATCGTCAACGATGTGAAATTGGTGTTTGATCCCAAAGAGCTCAGGTAATTAAGAGCCTGAGGCAAGTGCTTGTCACGTCCACGCGTGGTGACCTCCTTCTCAGTGCATTTTATTTACGGGTTGCTTGGCGTTCTGTCTCATGTCTGCATATGTCAGTGCCCTGGATCATTCTTGAACATGTGCTCCTGATGGTGTCTTTGACACGTGGCTAATTATGGGTTTATATGGAAAAGACATCACCGGTTAAAACCATCAACAGTATTTTTTAAGAAGGTCGTTTACAGGAGAATGGGTGTATAATACACATTTGACATTTTGCATACTTGAGAGTTTGAATTTCAATATGTGGTTATTTGTTTTGGTTTTGTTTTCAGCACCTAAAAAACCTAGCATAGGAGCTTTATTTTTCGCATGTCATCTCTGCTTATATAACAGGAACAGCCTCTCTTTGTGAGGGACTGGGCGCCTCAGGGGGACGACTCAGAAGTGTCATTTAAGAAAATAATTTAAAAAAAAAATCTCCAAAACAAGCTTCAAGGAAGCTGGTCCCTGGGCTTTCAGACGAAGAAGTGAGGCTGGGGGCCAAGTCCTTCTTACCTCTACCTCCTGAACTTGGTGCCTCTCAGGGTCTAAGCCTGCTCTTTGTTGTGTCAGGTGTAGATATCACTGCATTCTGAAAAGGGCCGTTGTGAGGCCAAGGATGCACAGCCTTTTAAACCCTCGGCATCTTGTAGCATAGTCCTCATTTGCTTTTTGTTTTGGTTTTGATTTGACATAATAAACTACTTGTGGATGATGACACCATTTTTACCAGCCAGTGGAGCCCTCCTAAATATTATTAAAGGGCCATCTGTCCCCTGGGCAGTTAAACTGAATAAAAAATGTTCATCCTTACTGTACTTTATGTCCACCATAGGTCACTCATGCCCTGGAATTGAAGGGCCAGAGGCTCTTTGGGAGGCCCTATCCCCACGAATCATCGTGTCTCTGATGTGCCCTAGGATTTAGTGTCCTGCAGGGACACATTTATTTTCTGCTGCTAGGGCTCTGACAATGCTGGTTATAGCTTAGTAGGCTCTAAATGAGAAAAGGAGAAACATATGGGCTCCTGGACAGTGTGTCTGCCCTCCTGGCTTTCTGTACAGTCTTTTCCTTGGCACACAGTTCTCAAAGGGGGCTCCTTGAAATGACAGCATCAGTAGTCCTCGGGAGCTTGTTAGAAAAACCCAGGTCTCAACTTCCTCCCAAATCTTCTGAATTAGGAACTGTGGGGTGGGGCCCAGCTGCTTGGTTTTAAGGACTCCTCTCGGCACTTCCAAACCATGGTCGTATTTAAGCAGCTCAGGTCTGGAGAAACTGAGAGGAAGAAGGGACGCTGTGTTTGGCCTGGGCCACGGCCTTATTCTGGGTCTTGTTGTGCACAAGGATCAGCTCCTTATCCACTAGAGGTACATTGTCAATGCTCACAGTTGGTGCTTGAGCCATATGCTTGGAGAGCCAAGGATGACTGGCTTCTCCAGGGCCAGTCCAGTCTGCCCTTGGTCTCTCTTCTAACAATAACAAGTGTTCTTCTTCTGTGCATTTTATACTGATATTTTAAGATGCCATTGAAAATTATGTATGAATTTTTTCTTTAAGGAAATTGATTCATGTTTGAATAAGACAGAAGAGATGGCAGAAGAGAATAACTCAAATTTTTAAGTCCCATACCCCAAAATAGCCAGACAGTTCTAGATCCCTTACACAGACACACACACAGTCTCTCTCTCTCTCTCACTCTGGAAAAAAAAGTCAGCATTTTTTCCTTTGGGATCAGCTCCTGCACTCAAGACACCTTGTTTTCCTATATCCTACAGTTATCTTTTGCATCATAATTTTAATAACTTTTGTGCTGGTTCCGTTCAATGCTGGCCCATGTTTAGGCAGCAGCAGTGGACACAATGTCTATTATGTGCTTTCTCTATACAAAATAGGCTTTACACAAAGCACTTATATTGGTCCATTAATCTTCACAACCGTGGTATGACATAGGCTCTATTGTTAGCCTACTTCTACCCTAAATAACTTGTCTGTGATGCCTCAGCTTCTTAGTGGCAGTGGTTCAGGGCCAAGCCCAGCTTTTTGATCACAAAGAACAGGCCTGTAACCACTATGCTACCTAATGGGTGTTGAGTTGTATTCAGTTTTATACTATTATAAAATATACAAGGATAAACTTATCTGTAACTTAATTGTAGTGTCTGCCCTCATTCAACATCATTAGGATAAACAAAGAAATGGAATTATTTGATTTTCCATTTTCCTAAAAGTTTTTTGATAGATAGAAAGTATTGAGTGCCCCTCCTCAAGGTCAGACCAATATTCTACCAGTGTACATTGGTGTCTGTTTTCCCAAACTTTGCCAATACTGGGAATTATCATTTTATATAGTATTGGCAATATGGCTGGTGACACCATATCTCACCACTTTAATTTGTATTTCTTTAGCTACCACAAAGTTCTCTTCTTCTGGTATTCCTTCATAGCTCTTTTGGCCAGTAATAAAACTAAATTTTTAAAGACAGCTTTATTGGGATATTGTTTCCCCCCTGCAAAGTTACCTGTTGTAGAATGTTCAATTCAATGGTTTTCAATGTTTTTACAAAATTGCGTGACCATTACCAAAGTCTAATTTTAGAACATTTTCATTGCCTTGGAAAAATCCCCGTTCCTATTTCCAGACATTTCCCATTTCTGCTCACAGCCCCAGGCAGTCGCTAATCTATTTTGTGAATCTATAGATTTGTCTTTTCTGGGCATTTCATATAAATGGAATCATACAACTTGTGGCCTTTTTGTGCTGGCGTCTGTCACTCAGCACATAATGTTTTCAAGTTTATCCACGTTGTAGCAAGTATCAATGCTTTTTTCCTTTTTGGGGATGAATTGTATGGATTTTGTTCATTTTGCTTATTCATCTGTTGTTGGGTATATATTTGGATTATTTCTCTTTGGGGGGGTATTATGAATAATGCTGTTGTGATTCATGTGCAAGTTTTTGTGTAGATGTGTATTTTCAGTTTTCTTGGGTGTATACTTGGGAGTGGAATTACTGGGTCTTTTGGCAGCCTTGTTTCACATTTTGACAAAATGTCAAACTGTTTTCCAAATTGGCTACATGGTTTTATACTTCTTCCAGCGTGGCATGAGGGTTTCCGTTTCTTCACATCCTCACCAGCACTTATTACTGCCTGTCTTTTGGATTATAGTCATTTTAGTGGTTGTGAAGTGAAAAGTAATACTTTAAAACATCTTTTTTAAATGCGATATTGGCCTATGTTGTATAAGGGACCTTGTGGAACATGCTGGTGGTATTTAATGACCATTTGACGTGGTGATATTTAATGATCATTGGGTGACCTTTCATTTCAGGGCTGTCTTGAAGAGCATAGTATCATTTTGCCGCGTGTTTCTAAATTATTTTGCTTGTGTTTTTCCTCATAGCAAAATGTTTACTGATTTCATCCTCAATGTTCCCATGGGTTTGTTGACCATACAGAAGCTCTATTGCTTGATCGAAATCGTTCACAGTGACCTCTTCACACAGCATGGTGAGTGGCACCCCAAGAATTATTAAATTGTCACATTATTTATTGTCTGAAGACCTTGACCTTCTGAATTCTCTCCTCCTTGATAAAAGGAGTGGAGGTTGCAACCAATTAAACAGCTGTACTACAAGACAGGAAGATTTAGCCCTTACAAGAGAAGGGTAATTGGCATGTAGTGTAGGCAATTGATCATTGAGAAATGAAGGCAAAAGCTCATAGTGGGTAATTTAGTGTACACCAAAGCCCTAGGGTAATCAGTATACATTGTAGCCTTTAAAATGGGTGATTGTCTATGCTGGAGAGGCAATCACTTGCTTCCACTGAGATGATTGCAACGAAAAAAAAAATCAAGTTTTCTTTAAATCTAGAAGTAATGGTTCTGTCTTATTGTGATCTTTGCATTCTTTGACAGAGCTTCTTCAAATTTTGTTCAAAGTAATAAGAATTTTAATGATTTCTCAACTCATTTATCCTGAGGAACACCTTATATTTCTCCACGTTATCTCCCCGCCCTTTTTATTAATCATTTCCTTTCTATTTGGACAGATTGAATTAATATTTTACACTTGTCAAGCAGTTTTATTGAAAGCTTAAAACCTCTGCATAATTCCACAACCTTCCTCATTTATTTGAGGCAAATGTAAAGCCTGTTGAGTGACATTCTGACTGAGAGGCATAGATTTATTCTGTTCCACTGGTGTCCAGCCATTTGGCTGTTCTGTTCATTTTCCTTTGTCCTTATGCATGGTTTTGTTTGTCACTCCTTTGTGCTCTTTCAGCGATGGATGGAGCAGCCCAGGGTTGGGATGTCCCTGCTGAGTTACTGGCTGGACTGGGGACTCACGGTTTATCTGGCTTAGTTCTTCATGTCTTCTGGCATGCTGATTTTGATCTTATTTCTTGATTTTTAACTTTATAAAATGCACTGGCGAGTACACTTGTTGCTAAGGCTTGCGTTAAGTGAAGGATGTTATGACTTCATTTGGGCAGGAGTGTTCTTCTGGAAAGAAAACATCAAACCAACAAGTGGCTGGCTTTCTGCAACCCCTCCGTGCAGACCTCTCTCTGAGACAGAAATTTACAGAATTGCGTGACCATTACCAGAGTCACTTTCCTAAAAGCAAGTCGGTTCTCACCATTGTCCCACCCTTCCCTGAGCCATTAATCCCAACTGTCCATACTTCAGGCTGTCACTAGAGAGCTGGATCTTGAATCACCCACTTTCCAGGTGTTTTCCAAAACTTGATGGCACTCAGGCGCTAAGGACAGGCTGATGGTTGAGGTGATGGGAGCGGACCCTGGCTCAAGGCTTCCTCTCTCATGGGCTAAACTTTATACCAGAACAAGTAAGATCCCCTGTATGTTTATATCTGGGTCTTACTTGATAGGTTACTGATGTCCTATTTATTAACCATTGAATGTCAAGACACAGACACACTCATAGAGACAAATGCCATCAGCACCCCACCATCATCAGTATCTTCACTGAGTTAACAGCTGTTGACCAGTGTCAGTTGTCAGTAGCAATTGTTGTTAAGTTGTCAATGAATGGTGCTTGACTTTTATTGTGTTGATATAATGAAGACCTTCTTGAGTCATATTTACATATATTTCAACATTTCCATTGCAAAATTTTGTTCTGCACATCATTTAGTTCCCTTTGTATAAGGACCTAAGCCATAAAAAGTTTAATTAAAAATATTTAAAAGAAATTCTTTTAAGAATGTACTCCAAGGAAAAATACTTTTCCTTGTTGAGGCATACTTGTTTCTTTAGCTAGCAGAAAGCTTGAAGAAAACTGACTCTTTATTTTGGTTGATTATGTTCACCTAGGTGTTTGTGATTGTGTTTCTCTTCTTTCCTTTCTGCTTTCACTCTAGTTCTATAAACTTTTTAATCTTTGACTGCTTCAAGACCTGTTTTGAAAATATGCAGCATGTAACTAAGTACTTAGCTTTGTTTGACAAGGAGTTACGAAGTAATGTAATAATTTGAAATAATTAACCTACCATCTCTTTAAATACAAAGTTAGGATTTTGATCTTAATAGCAAGTTTTTTTCAACATAGTAAATGAGACTGTACGAAATATACAAATCCCAAATTATTGTGGACTAAATGAGCCAAAATTAGCCTGGAGCTTCAAGTCTTACAAGCAGCTCCAGAATTGCCCCATCAGTAGAAGTTGTCTGAGCCATAATTGGCAACCCAAATGTGCATCTAAACACTTAGTAGTTGCCTAGAAGCATTTCAGAATGCTTTGGCCAATGTGAAAATGGTCCCATTTACAGGCTTTGAGCTTTGTGAGTCTTTCTGGGTAAAGATAGCAAAGACAGCCTCAATTTTTCTCATCTGCACACTCTCTGCTTCTTCAAAGCAGCCAACAGCTGTCTTAATCTTCTGGTCAGGAAAGATTTATCAGCAGAAATCTTCTGGGTGGCCTGTTCTTACAAAAGATGTCATTACTTCTGCAAAATATTCTGGTCCACCTTTGGTGTAGGTATTTAAAGCTAAACCATTTTCTGATGAGATATGATGGCTGTGATTTTCAAGCTTTGTTCCACTTCTTGTTAATTTGTACAAATGTAGTTATCCTGTTTCCCGATCCCAGTGGAATCGGTGAAATTAACTTTCCACATGTCTGGATTTTTAGAAGTTGAAATAACTAGATTTAGCCGACATGCTACTGAACGTGCTGTCCCTTAGTCAGTATCCTCTATAGGATGTGGTTAGAATGTATCACTGTGTGGGATCCTCAGACTTCCTCCCTAGTAGAAGTGAGGTTTCCAAGTCTCTGCCTCTCAGCGTGTGTTGCTTCACTCACTCAGACTCTAAAATATTTTATTTCCTCTTGATGTCAGAGACGTTTCATAGCTTCGAGAGTCTCACTTCAACAGAAGAGACAAGCAGATCTGTTGGCAAGAGGTTGGCAGTGAATTCTACAGCCAGAATTGCTCCTCTAACAGAAAAAGCCTTTCCTTGCCAGGTCTGGGCCCTGGTAGTCCAAGGCTTACAGTGCCCTTGGTTGTTTCTGGACTTGTTTTCCCTTCTTCTCTTTCCATGGAGGCATGGAAACCAGAGATGCATTCAGCTGAGTTTGTTTGGCTTCTACAGGAGGCAAGTTTTTGGGCTTGCCAAAACAAGACGGCTGTGTTTGTCTCCAGTTTTCATTGAACTGGCCTGAACAAGGATGCCAGGACTGCCTTCACTGCCACCACTCACTGACAGAGAAATCCAGCTTTCCTCTGCCTTTTTGTTCTATCCAGGCCCTCAAGAACTGGATAGATGATGCCTACCCACACTCTGCAGGGTGAAATTACTTGACAGTCCATCAGTCCAAAGGCTCATCTTAATCTCTTCTGGAAACACTCTCACAGACACACCCAGAAATGATGTTTAACCAGCTCTCTGGACGTCATTTGACACTTCCTCTATGAGGCACTCTTGATTCCCTTGCCTAAAATACTCCCATGCACGCTCCCTGAGGCCCCTCATAGCATACCAAATCCTGGTGTTTGTTCCCATGCCTTGTGTACGTCCCTATTATCTGTGGTCCTTTCTTAGAGTGAGAGTTCTCAAGCAGGCCTTGTTCAGGTACAGCAGAGAAGGAAGCATGCCCGGCTGCATACATGTGTAGTTCAGAAGTTCAAAGGGAGTTGAACCGTGGGACCAGATTAGTCAACTGGCAGTCTCTCCTGGACTTGGCTCTGGCTTGATCCTGGAGGGAAAAGGAAAAGGAGATATCTTGGAAGGGGAATAACTTCAGGAGAGAAGGGAGAGGAGAATGAGCAAGTGACCTGAGCTGTGGGGGGTCTTCTGGAACAGTTTTTCAAAATCAAGATTGTCTCCTATTTGCATCTGATCTAATGGTTTCTCTTTTTTTTAGACATATGGTGGGGATGTGCAGTTCAACTCTGCCTCTGTCTTCAAGATACCTTTTTGTTTAAATTATGGAAAATTTTAGACATACAGAAAAATAGGGAGAATAGTGTAATGCACACTGATATACCATCAGTCGTCAGCTCTACAAATGATCAACTCAAGGTCAAAAGTTTTTTAATCTATATGCCCCTCCCCCAGATATTTTGAAGCAAATCTGAGCCATTACGGCATTCCATTAGGGCATCTTTTTAAATGTACGGGGGTGATGCAGAATGAATGGCATTGTTCCTGAGAAGGAGAATGTGCAGAGAGTCTGATCTCCATATTGTTGTCACATCCACCTTGGATGTTCCCACCCCTGCTCCTGTGTGGAGGTGAAGTGTCTTTGACTCGTTAGCATGCTGGGCATGAGAGTCAGTGAATGGGTTGTGATGGCTTCTAAGCTTCGTCTTGCTATGTGACTTGACTGCTTGAAAGCCGGTTAAATAGATTATGTGCTTCACAAAAAGATGACTCTTGCATACAATCTGTGGTGTGGAGAGAGCAGAGTTTCAAAGCAAGATACAAAGAGAAGGAGAGGTCAGATCTTTGTGATTTGTGCATTTGTAGCTTTGTTCCCATGTGATTGTATTTTTGCCCACATATCTGACAAAAGCTGTGAAAATTAAAGCTTAAATCCTATTATAAAAATAAAAAGTTCCAGTGTAATTAAATTAAATTCTAGAACACTGAGGTTTCGGATTTATGCCCACAGAAATGTTTAACATTAATGTGATAGAAATTGGAATACGATGAATCAACCTGAGCTAGCATTAACTTTTTTTTTCTTTAGTGTTAACTTTTAAATTAGTCAAGAACATTGACTATGGTTTCAGGAAGCCTTGGGTAGAGGTGAGAGTTCACCTGTAACATGCTGTCTTACTGACACGAACTTTTTCCCCTGTGCTTCTCAATCTAAGATCCTTGGGAAGCTTGTTTCAATGAACATTGGATCATTGCCTTGCCTTTTAAGATGCAGTCTTTCTATATGCCAGTTTCAGTAGCAGCCAAAGCAATAGACGGGTTTTCTTTAGAGCGAACTATGTACTTATCATCGTCCTAAGTTTGTGTGTTTTGGAGATGA